AAAAAAAAAAAACAAAAAAAAACTAAGCATCTTTTTTTTTCCTTTTTGTATTTTTTTAATATAGCAAGGATTAAATGTCACCATTTTGATCCAGTTTACTTCCTGACGTGAAATAATCGCTAAATAACTACTTTGACGGAATAAATTAATTTTAAAATCTTATTTTTTAATTTTCTAATTACAATTTTCAAACACAGATTTGAGGAAATTAACATTTATGTGGACATTTGGTTTCGAACCTAATGTGGCATAAAAATAAGTAACATAATGAGTGTTAAAAAAAATCAGGTTCATGATGCTTCTCACATCATCAGCATTGTACTTAGATGTCACAACAGTATTATGTGCGATTATGTCAGATCCAGCCTTCTCCATCTCAGAGTGTTGGCAGGTAGGAGGGTTGTTGGCAAGAGGAGGGGTGTTAACCTCAGGATTCTGGATCAAATCCAAGGCTGGTAATTACATTCTGCCAGCCAAAATTCATCCCATAATTTTAATTGGATAAATCCTTTCTGGCCTAAGCTACTGCTATGCCTGTCAAACTGTTGCCACATTTCACCCCAGAGCTGTCTGTGTTTGGGTTGCAAGAATCAGTCCCTTTGAGGTTGGCTTATCAGTTTAAACCTTCAAAGGGCTTTGGGATCCTATATGGCACTATAAATCTATTTAGGGTCTTTTTTTAATTCTGAGTTTATATAGAAATAGAATATGTACCCAGGTTAATGGCTAAAGATCAAGATCCACCTAATGCCATCATTGCCTGGGTCACTCTTTCTCACCAGAGTGATAGGCCTGACTTTCCCCTCTTTCCCTTGGGGGACCTTCTGTTTCCTGTGGTGTTTGCCTCAAAATGCTAAGGAAAAAAAGGACAGCAGTGTCGAGAGGTGCCTTCCACGGGGAGCCAATGGAAGCAATGGCCCTGTATTTCACGATCCTATAAGGTGACTATGCGGAGTAGTATGGTGATGCGATACCTGGTCTCAAGGGACACCCAAGGTCCTTAAGGTTCTAGATGTAGCAACTGCCAGGAGGAAAGCTTTTTCCCTCGGCTTCTCCATTCCTCTCTGAAGCGCTCTCTTACTAGGCGGTGGAGAATAGTCAATAAGCTAGTATTTCTGAAAGCGCCAAACTCAGCAAAGCGCCGGTGCCAACTCACGGTGACCCTGGCACCAGAATCCGGGTGTTACTCTGCACGCCCTAGTTCCCAACTTAACCTTACTCCCTTCAAACACAAATGGAGGGAAAATAGGGCCCCCTGTACCCTGTGGAGGGCGCCACCGCCAGTGCCTCTGTGCGGTAAGCCTGGCATTTGGGGGAAAGACAAGGCAACAGCTATCATGATGGACTATGGGAAATTCAGCAGTACGATTGAGTTATGCCTGTTCTCTTCCACAGCAGAAAAGCACCTTGATGTTAGTTTAGCTTTCCCACTTGTTAACCTACCCAGTTCATGGTTTCAAAGCGCGTTGCCTGAGCTAAGACGGTACAGATCAAGCCTCTCTAGCATTGGCTGGAGGGCTTTTCTCCTTTCTCCAGCTAAGTCCATCCTTAAGGCATTCGCTCTTTTGTTCCCTGTGGGTCTTGCACAGAACCAAACAGACACCACACACAACTTCCCAGTGTCCTTTCCGTCATCCACTGGTACTCCCCAGCAGCCCTGTTTGTTCCCCAGTAGGCAAAAAGAACACCTTCTAGAGCCTTCCTGTTCATTTTTGCAGTCCTAACTTTTGTAGGGGTCTTTCCTGGCCCATTGGATGTCCCACAGATCTGCCTGAGGCCAGAGCCTAGGTTTGAGGTCGAGCAGGACAGGATTAAGGTGGCACACATGAGATGCTCACCTTTGGTACACTTGAAAATTCAGTCATTGACATACTTGAAAAAATAATGAAAAATCTGGAGAGATATATATATATATATATATATATTTGATATATATATGTATATCAAATTTTATATATATCATGAAATACAGGGCCATTGCTTCCATTGCCTCCCCGTGGAAGGAACCTCTGGCCTTTGATAAAGATATCAAATTTGGGGATAAAGATAGCATCCAACCCTGCACTTGCCTGACTCAACCTCACTCTCTTCACTCGAACCCTGGCCCTGTGGCTACCTTCCATGTTTTGCCAGCCTGTTTCTGATTGAAGGGTCAGAAGGAAATTATGTTTTTCTGTCTGCTAGCATCCTCTCCTCTGGTCTCCAAAATGGACAACAAAACCAGAAATGTCAAGGGTAGGAATTCACACAGTCTAAGATTAAGAGTGGACACACACAATCTAAGATTAAGAGTTTCTAAAGCTTTAAACACAGGAAATGGAGTGAATTCATCTAAAAAGAAGGCAACCCCTTATTAGAACAAGCAACAGAATCAATTCTAACTACTTACCTGATACATTTCAGAATATGGACATTATAATTTCCTGTTATGGGGGGCATTTTGAAATAATGCTTTAATGAACATTTAAATTAGTACAGTGAATCTGTTTTCTGTTTTACTTTAGCATTTCCTAGGAGCATTTCCTTCAGAAATGCTGAGGGCTAACTCCCAATGCCATTGTTATTTCCCTACAAAGTTTTCACCTTCACTGTATTTTTACAATAGGTAGCATCTCACTGTGGCTTCCTCCCTACTCAAGGGACATGAAAAGTTTTTATTTCTTTTTCTGTAGAAATGAGAACTGAAAAATGAGAGGACTTTTTTGTGTGGCTTTACTTGCCATTCTAAGGCAAGTTTAGAAAACAGAATTTTTTTCAAATACTTGTGAGTTTTAAATTACTTGTATCATGTGATATTATGAAATATGTGTTCTATTAGCTATTTTCTAAAATAGCAAACGGGTTTCACAGCTGCCGTCTTTCGTTTGGAGTAGAGGAAGCTATGCTATTAATTTATTTTAAATGAAGAAAAGGAGCTTGTTGTCCAGAAAAGTTACAACAACTACCAGGAATGGCTCCAGGACCCATATTGCACTGCGTTCATTATGTAAAATGATCTCTAGCCAGTTTTGTCTTAATGAGAGAGAAGAATAAAAACCCACCCCGTTTCCAGAATTAACCATTTATTTTTCATTTAGTTTTAGAAGTTGATTTCCCGTTAAACACTAGGATTCCCTTTGTGAAAGCGAGCATTTCAAATGGCGCTATTAGCATAAATGAGAATCACCTTGTTCAGCATCCCAGTCACTCGGACGGGCTGACTCCTGCAGTTAGCCAGAAGTTTGAAGTCCCTGGCCCAATCGCTGAATTCATGCCTTGCCCCTTTTACTACTGTCCTTCACTATTGAACCTAGGAGGCCTGAGTTGTGCTCTCGGCTACTCATCAAAAGGTCAGGATCTTGAAGTTGACCTTGAGGGGCCTCAGCAGACAGTCATGTGCTTCCCAAAGGGCAAGCCTTCCCACCCTGGGCCTGGTTCTGTCCAGCCAGGCACCGACTCACCACAGCAAGACATTGAGTGAAATCCTCGAGTTTCTCCAAAACCGTCTTTGTTTTCGTGCGGAATAAGCAACTGCTAAAATCAACTGTGAATTGTGGCTGAAAATTTGCTTTAATAGATGGGACTACATTAAGCCTTTGTAAAACTTAAAAATCACAAAGCATAGTTTGAATACATTTGTTGGAGACATTTTCCCCTACGTAAAATGAGTGCTTATTGTGCTGTGAGGGTTTATCAATAAATATTTCCTTAACAATTCTAACCAGTCCCTTTGTGACAGGCCAGCAGTGGCCAGTCCCATACCTCCATACTCCTGTGTTTCTGTTGTTGACTGTGCCTATTGCATGCAAATGAATGATGATTTACATAGGGATCCGAGACCCTGAGCAGAGGGGTGGGTCACAGCCTCTTTCAGAGGGGTGTGGGAGCCAGGGCTCCATGTCTCCTGCTCTTGGACAGACCTCCAAGCTCTGCCCGCAGGACATGCTGTTTCAAACTGAAGGTCTTTTCTGCCTCATTTGTCTTTTACTTAGTGTTTGAAGGGACTTGACTTTTTTTTTCTGAAAGGGATTTGACTTTTTTTTACCTTTTCATTTCATTTAAATAGAGAATGTCTTGTTTCTTAGGACGTGGGACAGAAGAATTATTAAGTCATGTTTTTAATCTTTTCCGGATCCTGCCCTGTGCTTCTTCATTGTTGTTCAACTCTGCTTGCTTACAGGTCTCCCTTCGTGGAGAGAGATTTGAACATTAAAATGTACAGAATGGACTCTCGAGGTCGTCTCCTTGAAACTCTACTGAAGCCATATC